TTCTTGATGAATACTAATTAAATAATACGATTTCATATTAATATATTAAAACTTATAACATATTATTAAACCATAGACATACTATTCTCAAAAGACTATCCATACATATTGTTCATGTGAAGTGCAACCTAATTGGACCATGCTACTCTCAAGTCGAGTACATACCAATAATAGTTATGAGCTTAGACATTTAGTCCAATAGTCTCCCACTTAGATAAGTCTAAAACTATTATTCAAACATGACTCCAAGATCCCGACTAGCAAACTTAACAATTAAAGCCGCTGCCGAACTCTGACCTAGTCAAATGACGTGTCCATTAGATAAGGGATCATATATTCCTCCATTCTAGAAATCATATGGATTGAGACATGGATTATAATCATTCTCTATTTGTATTTTTTATTTCCCGGTTTCTGATTTACGACTACTGACTAATTGAACAAATCAAATCAGTCCGGGTTTGACCAAGCACTTAGGGGTGTCATCATTAAATCATCGAGGGGCCGACATATATCACTTTTATCCCTCCAAGGGTAAAAGGAAGGGATAAACTTCGACCTTAATGTTATCTTGTACTTACTCATCAAATTACACGCAAGGATATGTTTTATAACAACCAAATTATCGGTTGCATTTACATATGTCAATATGCAACTAACGTGCAACTACAACTCACGCATCTCTATTTGAAGAATATCAGATATTATTGTCTCATGGTCACTCGTGATAAAATCCATGAAGTGTTTCAAATGAGCATGGGTTTAATCTAATACTCGAATCTCATTCCAGGAGCTCTCATGAATGTTGTAGCAACTTTTTCTATGTCTAAACACTTTAGACATCTACAAGCCCACTTCATGATAGTCTTGATTCCTACCTACTTCCAAAGTATGATAGACTATGGAGAGTTTGAAAAACCTAGTTATTCGAGAAGTCAAAACATGCAAAGTGAAACACAAGAATAATCGAATCCAATATGGCCTCAGAACTTATGAATATAAATAAAACACCTTTTATTTATCATCATATTGATCACATATTATTCATTTCATAATGTTTAAAATAATCAATTGAATACTTAACTTAAAACAATAGTTGTCCCATGCTCGAAGCATGTACCCTATATTTTCTAAACAATAGTTATGCCATACTCCAAGTATGCACACTATGTTTGTTTATGATCCTTACTTTGTGAAATAGATCAATTGAACATGATTCCAATGATGCTCATCTCACAATCCCAAATCATTATCGTAAATGTAAGAATTCCAAATTCCTACCATTTACCAAAATCTGTTAGATTCTAAACTTACATGCATTGATCCTTTTGTAATGACTATGCACAAAATCACAAAGACTTGTCAATAGACATTACAGAGTATTCCAATGGAGAGGAAATCCATGGAAACGAAGTCTTAAATTCTAAGTACATTCCTTTGAGCATCCTTATTGCATTAAGTTTTCTAATCTTACACAGATCGAATAACTTCCATCTATTGAGACATTTCCATATTCACATTATGACTATCACTTCTGAACAAGAGTTTCCTCTTTACAGAATATGTGAATATGGTCCTTTCCAAAATTTACACCATACTTCCAACTGTCCATGAGAAACCACCCTTTGGTAAACCTGAGATTGTCCTTTACAAATGCTTACTCATTTTAATCATATCCAATTCTAGGCTTTTTCCTTCTTAATTCCCTAGGCATTTGGAAAATTTAGAAAGGATAAATATTATAGCACATATAATCGATCCTACATCCGAAGCATATAGGACACGATTCATGATGTCTCACATAAAAACATGATCCTACACCAGTCTTTTGTTACAATATTTTTTATTTGCCATGTTTTCATAATTTGACTATGAATAGGGATGCGATAATCATAATCGAATTTGAGAACTCAATATATATAGAATTTCCTTGTGTTGAACCATTCCAACATAAAATTCATATATATATATATATATATATATATATATATATAGGATATAGATCCGGTAAGAAATTTTTTTTGGTAGGAAGGTAAGAAGTTTTTTTTCTACATATTTTTTTGACGAACAAAATAAATGAATCACTAGATGATTCATTTGTAAGATGATTCACAAGAAAAAATTCCCAAAAAAACATCTTTATGATTCATTTTTAAGTAAATTAAGAAAAAATTCATTTTTATGACAATTTTAGTGAATAACAACAAAATCATTGTATAAATGAATCATCGAGATGTTTTTTTGAGAATTTTTTCTCGTGAATCATCTTAAAAATGAATCATCTAATGATTCATTTTGTTCGTTCGCGAAAAAAATATGTAGAAAAAAAACTTCTTACCTTCCTACCAAAAATTTCCTTCTTATTTGATCTTGACTCTATATATATATATATATATATATATATATATATATATATATATATATATATATATATATATATATATATATATATATATATCCTGTACTAAGGATAATTAAAATCTCAATGTAAGCTTTTCCTAATTGAAACTTTTGTTTTCAATAATTAACATTTCTAACTTGCAACACTTATCATAATTAGCATGCTCCCACTAACATGATAATTATTAGCATTACACTTATGCTTCCAATAGCTTCGACATGTATCCATAAATCAGCTGGACTTCTAGATATAAATACTTTATTGACTTTCTTACCAATGTTCAGATTTCTGATATGAGATGCTTTGATAAGATTTTATCAAAATCATACACCTTTTCTTAGATAGCTCATGTGTATGTCTAAACAATTTTTTTAGAATTATGAAAATGGATGTCGCAATGATATTCTCAATTGCTTGGACCTTTTCCATTTCTCACAAGTCAATGTTAGTGTGGCGGTTAACCAAACACGCTCCACTGACGACTTTGAGAATGAAAATATCAGAATTGCTATCTACTTAAAATCTACGTAGTGAAAGCGTTTCCTCACCATCATTTTCATGAATCAGAGAGAAACCTTATGACACTTCGATTTTATTATGTATGTGTTCCTATCCATGTGAATTTGGTAAAACCATAATCACAAGACAAAGTTAGTGAAAAATCCAAGCTCATATGGACTGAACTTTTGCAATCTTAACTTCCTACCACTTGGCAGCACAAGGTCTACCATTGCCTCTAGGTTTTTATGCAAACAATTGGAAACTTGTAGAACTTACATGCATAGTTAACTTTAGCTAGAATGGGCACGGAAATAAGAATATGTCAACACGATAGGTTACAAACCTCAAGTCGTGCGGTAGTGATAAACTACATATTTTATTCTTAATTAGTTCTATAAACTCTTTCAAAAACTTTTAGACTCCCACTGTCCTCTTGACATATAAAACTCTCACGCTAAGAACCATTCTTTGACAAAGAAATATTTAAGAAATAGTGCAGATTCTTATCAAGACAAACACTTCACATAATTAGCCTTAGTTGGTCTTTGTTTTATCAAAAACATCACATCTTACCAATTTCAAATGTACAAGAGTAGAAAACATTTTACTCTACATTTGAAAAGTGTTATAAACCTTCTTTAAGATATGTCACTCAAGTTACAATCTTGGAGTATGGCTCTAAGAATTGTTTTGGAATAAAGTATGACTCATCTTATTGATTTAACCACTTTAACCATTTATGACTCCTCTTCTTAGCCATAAGAATGCACTAAGATGTCCTTAGAGGATTAATTGTGATATGGTTTCATAATCATTAACGTGATCATAAAACATGATACTAAAGTACTCTCCCATCTTTTTAGATTTGAGAAACTTTATCTTTTTTCCTAATTTGATTCCTCTAATTCATTCTGCCATGCATTGAAACTTTTCCAATGTTTCAGAATTATACTTAAACTTATAAGTATAACCATATTTACTAAACTTTAGTAAATGATGACGACTAGTCTTAACGATCTTTGTGGTGGACTTGGCTAGTGCACACGAGTGTGTACTCGGTCCCATTGTCCTTCATTTGACTCACTTGTACATGTGAACATGGAATTAGTCTTAATTTTCCAAAGATGCACTACTAGAAAAACAGCCTTTAAGGACGCGCAAACAATGACACACAGTGATAGAGGACGCGTATTTGTACGTGCCCTAAAAACTAATGTCAGTTTTCCAAAATTTGAAGGATAGACGACATGCATTTATGCGTACCCTAAAATTAGTGTTAGAAATGGAAAAAAAAAAAAGAAATGCGGAGGGCGCCTTTCATAAAATGTTCATCATGTAAATGTGTAGCTTTATAGTTTTAAGTGAAACACGCATCTTTGGCGGGAAATGAAATCGATGAAATTTACCCCTCAAAAAATTAAACCCCCGGCCTCTTCGACTTAGCAAGAAAAAGCCCTAGGGCCTTCATCTTCATCTTCAGCAGTGGGAATACCTAGGTCGATTCTTCTGGGTTCAACAACAGATTTGTAAATAGCAAACATATATGATTCTTGATCTCGGCCATGATTATGGCGCTTTGGAGTCGGCGAAGAGAACATCATTCGTGAATATCTGTCATTTCCTTCTTTCAACATTTCCATATTATAGTCTTCACAAATCGACAAGGGGCCTCCGCAATCAAGTTGTTTCATCTTCAACTTGCTTTGGTGAAGAGAGCGATAGATATAGAAGCAGTTGAGAGAAGAAGAAAAAAGGGAAATCTTATCATTTTTGTTTCATCTTCATCTTGTTTAGTTATAGACTAGTTAAAAATTAAATGGTGCATCCTTAGGTCAGGTGTGCAGCAACGCGTGTTCACTGTTCAACACCCTATGAACCGTTTAACGAACAATAGGATTAAGATTTCCTAAAACAACATAAAAATCAGATCTTTCATTTCCCCTTTAATACATCTCTTCCCCTCTCCCTCACTCGTAAACCCACCAATTTCTCGCTGAAAGCGCGTAGCCTTTGAATGAAGCATCTATTTTGAAATTTCTGTTCGAGGAAGAAAGGGCGAGACAAAGATCTGACCTTTGATTTGAATAGAAGGAGAAAGATGGGCCTAAAATTCCTTCTTACCAAGGTCAGTTTTCCTTCTTCTTTTATTTCAACGATTGCTCTGTTTCATCTTTCTTGGTTACATCACGTCAATTATGCATATGGGTCTGTTATTACACTTTAACGCTCCTTTGAAATCAGTTAGGGTTACATACGAAAATAAAGAAAACCCTAATCTGAAAGAGCTTTTAGTGTTCTTACGGACCTTCTTCAAGTAGCTTCAACATGGTTACGCAGCTATAGATTAATGCAATTTTTTGGACATTTTGTTGATTGATATATGTATATGTATATTCTTATATATTGAAATTTGTAGTGTTTTCTTGATCAAGGTTTCTTTGGTCTTCTTGGTACATTCATCAGATTTGATGTACTCAAATTGAAGTGTTTTCATGATCATGGTTCTTTTTGGTCTCACTTGCAATATTATGTTAAGAATCCGTTTTTGTGAGACAACATTGTAGTTGAATTTCTTTATACATTGCTTAGCCATCAAATGAATACATGCATGTTCTTACTGTATGATTAGGTAAGATTGGTGAAGAAATGATATAATAAGTGTTAGGAATCAAGATAGTTTAATTGTAGGTCCTAAATGTTGTTAAAAGATAAATTATCAATTCTGGGCACACACTTGTCTGTGATTGATTGCAACATTCTTTACTCTTCTTTTCTTTCATCACTTTTTCTTTTTCTTCTTTGATTGAGAACTTTTCCTCAACCACCACAGCCCAAAAAAGAGTCATTCGGTTCGATACTACTTAACAAGTTTGTTCGCCTTCTTCAAAAATTTGTTTCCAGTGCAGAAATAGGCGGGAAAGTCGACAAAGCTTCATTCCAGGAAACATGTTCCCAGGCGGCTGCACTGGTTCTCTCAACTCTGGTATTGTAAACATACCACCTCCTTTGACTAACATGTTGACCAATTTTGATAAAGTTGTTAAATAAATAAATGTTGGATGAACATTTTCGATTTTCAGGATACGGATTCGAAAACAAATGTGAAGAGCTTCTCGCAAATTCTCCGGCTTCTTTGCTAGTGTCCGGCGTACATTTCTACAATCGATGCTATGGAAACTGGCATATTCATATGGACGTGATTAGTTTATGCTGCTCCTCAGCATGGTTATGGATAATCGATACCAAGCGAGGTCTGTTTGCCTCTTACACGAGGTTCTCTGGACCAGCTGCCAAGTTAAGGCCTACCCTTCAACCTAGTGAGCTCGAATCACCACCTGAGAAGGATCCAGTTGAACAAATTCTAGCACATAAGCTATGGATTGGATTTTTCATTGACAATTTTGAGGTACTTAAAACAGTTTTCTATTTGATTTATATACTCACTCGTTTCTTCTCTTATCTTTTATCTTTGCTTTTACAGGTAGTACGACATGATAGTCTGGTACAACTCTTGCTTCTTGGTAGGATGCTACAAGGGACCACCAAACTTCCATGGAAATTTTCACACCATCCAGCTACTGTTGGTACGTTTTTCACAGTCATACTGCTTGGACTTAAATTCTACACATGCCAGTATGAAGGGAGCCTACAAAAAGTTAGATTGGGAATTCAGCTGCTGGAAGATGGGATTTATCGGTATTACATTCAACTCGTGTTTCTTCATAATATAACACTTTTTATTTTAATTTAAACTCTGAAGTGGAAAACTGAAACCAACTGCAGGGCTGCATTAGGATGGTTTGCTTATGAACCTGAATGGTTTGAACATAATCATGGAAATTTTCCACACATCGAGGCTCAATCTGTTAATTCATTTGTTCGCTATCTCCAAAACGATCCAAAAGCACTGGGTGGGGAATATGGGGGATCTTTCCTTGACATGGTAAGACACTGATATTTCTATTTATCCTGTTGTGTTTTATGATTTTTTATTAACAATGAACAATCTTAGAAGGATCACTGTCACCCTGTTTGGGGACCAATGGAGAACTATGCAGCTTGTAAAGATAAGAGGAAGCAACTACTTTTAATGTTATGCCAACATGAAGCTGACAGGCTTGAAGTTTGGGCGCAACCTGTTAACTACAAGTAATTTCATCAACTGCAATTTTGCAACATGTGATCTCTTTCATCTTTTATTAGTTATCAAGTCCATTACATGTTCATAATAAAATACTATATTCTCATGATTTGTATTTCAGGGCCCAAAAGGTGTGTGTCTTTTTTCAAAAGGGCCCACATATTGTTTTACATTTATATTTACTATTTTATCCTCTTCTTTTGCCAGACCTCATGACCGAGTCCCTTTGAAAGACATGAAAGCAGATTGGCATTCTTGCCTTGGTAATAAAGTCGGATTCAAGGTGAGTTTCATTATTATTTATTATCACTACAAAGTTTTGTAGCATTTATTAACTTGTGACTTGAATTATTTATAAAAAAACTTTTTTTTTTGTAGGGTTTTGCTGTACCAAAGGAGACACAAGAAAAAGTTGCAAAGTTTTCATTTCATGGACATGAAGAAGAACTTAGACATGATAGTGTTGTGATAAAACAAGTTACCTTTTTTTTTCTTCCACTAATGCTGATAAGTGATAACTTCTCTTTAAGTGTTCATAATTCAATATGCTTCCAGAAACAAATTCATTTTTTTTGGATTTTATGTATGATTTTATTCATGATTTGATGAATAAAATCAAGGATCCTTTTTTTTCTTTTGGATTTAATTGGGTAATGGTATATTTGATGGCATGGCATCTCAGGAAACTTCAAGCACGAATAAAACATCTTGAAGACGAAAGAGCAGAACAAGCTAATGAGGTTGGACTCTAAAAAATGGAAAACCATGACATATTTGTTTGTATGATTTATTTGTTGGAATTGTTTTGCAGATGAATCAATATAAAAAGTATATATCTGAACTTGTAACCCATGCAGAAGCTCAAGCTTTACAGTAAAAATTGGAAAACCATGACATATCAGGAACTACCATTAGCCAAGGCTCGTCTACATGAGCTAGAATGAGTAGCTTCAAGTCGACAAAAAGAGCTTATCATTATATAATAATTCATATAGATCCTTTCTCATCTGGTTTTTGGTGAATAATGGGATTCTAAGTTAGTTGTGTGTGTGATGTGGATGATGCAGTATTTGATAATGCAGCATGTAGAGCATTCAGCAGGGGATTTGATTCATCTGTTTCAATGGCTATTAAGATATGATCCATTAGAGAGGGTAACAACACGTGCAACATTAAGACATCCTTTCTACACCAGGAACAATCTTAGTAAACGATACTAGCTGTTGCTAACAATATCAAAACAAAGTATGTGGTGGTCAATCTAAATCTGCACACAGAAGGAAGGAAGGATGTTTTTGCTGTAGATGTTTTTATTACATGAGGGTATGTTTTGAGTTCCTACTGCACTGTTGTGTGGAAACCCCACCCACACGTCTCATTGACCACCTTGAAGTCGAATTTATGTACAAAGTACAAACAAACAAAAAAAAATGTAGAAAAAGAAAAGATAGATGATTACAAGGTATGTGAAAGAGGAATGGGCATGTTATGTTCTTTATGCAAGGTATTTTGGTCTTCTCTTTCTTTCTCTCTCTCTCTCTCATACACACACAAACACATGCATACATAGCATGAAGGATCTTTAAGTTTTTAAACATTGAGAATAAAGTGTTCATTGTATTTCAGTTTACGGAGAGATAGCTGGATTGCTTGTGAATGATCTTATTTTACAAACACACAAGGTATTAGTGACATACAATTTCATTGCTATTTCACTTTTTTTTAATTTAATTTAATTTTGTTCTCATTTTTTGTGCATACGTGCTTCATTTTGAGCAGTTTCTGTGTAGTTGAATGCTGGATTTTGATCTCTAGTTTCCCTAATAATGGTTTGGATTGAATGAAAGAAGTAGCAATGTATCATCACTGATCACGACACAACACCGAGAGGTCATCTTTAACAAAATTATCTTTACTATATGTGAATTACATGACAAAAATGTCAAATAACTTATAATGTTTTTCTTTTTTCAGGAAATCAGCTTATAAAGACTGATCAAGTGAGCATACTAATTAGATCACTTCTCCTTAAGCAACAAAAAAAGTCTCGAACAACTTCAAAGAATGCAAAGGGTGCAGGCAAAAATGAGGGTTCAAGAAAGAGGTATTTAACTTTTTCTTGTTACACATACTTGTTTTTTATGCTCGCATTCATGGGATTTAGTATTTATATATTTTTTGGAATGAAACATTACCATTTTCTCCCTAGGGACCCAGAAAGAGCTGCAGATGGTAGGGTTTCTGCTAAGAGGGCTTGTGATGAGATCACTTCTCCTTAATTTAATTGTTTATATTTGAAACTGAAATGAACCTGTTGATCATAAGAAGTTAATTGAAGAGATGAAGTCAGAAGCAATGAAGACTTTGGTTGTAGAAGGTCAACAAGTATTGTTGACCATGGAAGGTGAGGATTTGACTCTAGAACAACAGAAAGAGCTTAACGAAATCAGGAAAAAGAAAATTATATTAATTTGTGAACATAGAATCACGAAAAGCATAGCTGAAAGCAGACCAACTGTTCGAAGAAAATTTGATAAGACAAGAGATTTACATCTGATAGAAATGGTCATCATTAGGGCTTTGTAACATCCCGGAATAGCAAGAGTAGGGTTGAAGGACTAAAAGTGTAAATTTTGAAGGGCAACTCGGCAAGTCCATGGATGGACTCGGCGAGTAGGGTCGCGACTTTGGTCGCGAGTCAAGTGGCCTACTTGGCGAGTCCAAAGATGGACTCGGCGAGTAGGTGCTGAGTGGAGAAAGCCCTAAATTTGGGGAATGAGCCCTATTTAAAGAATATTATATCCTCTCCCTAGCCTCTTTGATCCCCCTTGAAGTCCAGAAACCATAGAAAGCGTGATTGTGGAAGATTGGAGTGCATTTGGAGCTTGGGGAGGTGTTTGTTGAAGAAATCTTGAAGCAGAAGAGGCTTGGATCAAAGGGCTTTGCATGGATTCGAGTTTCATTGCAGTTGGGGCATTCTTTTGTGGTAATATCTCGTTCTTGGGATATTACTCATATGGATTCTTCATTTTGGGGTATATGGGGAGCTTATCTTTGTATGTTTTAGAGTTTGGAGGTTAGATATGAGGTTGCTACCTCAGATCTGGGTTGGGGAAGGCCTAGAGAGCATTAAAGTCCCTGTGTTTGAGTGCTTAGTGAAGCCATCATGTCCCAAACCCTAGCTCTAAAGTGAATAAGGCCTAGATCTCTTTGGATTCACATAAAGTTTGCCACTTTACGTGATGGATGGATTGTAGGTGGCTAGATCTATGTTTTGGATCAATTGCATGGCCTGGAATGCTTCTGTATGGATTCAGACCCGTGGTACTCGGCGAGTCACATGGGTGGACTCGACGAGTTGCTTGAAGATGAGCTGGAACTCGACGAGTTGGATGAACAACTTGGCGAGTATGTTGAAGATAGCCTTAGACTCGGCGAGTCTGTTCTTGGACTCAGCGAGTCTTGTCGAAGAGTCCCAATATTTTCTGGTTGAGTCAAGAATCGGTGAGTTAAGGGATGACTTAATGAGTTGGGTGCGAGTGGACTCAAAGTTGTTGGACTCGGCGAGTCTTGGGGTGACTCGGCGAGTTAGGTCGCGTATTGAGGGAAGTTCTGAGCATAGGCACTCGGCGAGTCATCAGCTTGACTCGACGAGTTGAGTCAGTCAGGGGTTGACTTTGACTTTGTCCAAGGTTGACAGTTCTCTTCTAGGGGTATTTTGGTAATTAAGGGTATTTATTGAGTTGAGTGTTTTGGTGTTCAGTGGAGGAGTTCGTGTCGGAGTTCGGAGCAGCGGGATCTTATCCTTTCAGTCGGCAGTTTCGAGGTGAGTTATCCTCACTATATCAACAGAGTCTAAGGCACCAAGGCCGACCCTTTTATCGGATTGAGATCAGAGTATCTGTTGTTATGTTATTGCTTCGATATGTTTGCTTTCTGGTAGTTAGGATGGTATTCGTTAGAGACCAGGTTAAGGTCAGTATCCTGGTATGTAGGGTGAGGCTATGCTAGTGACTAGTTAGGTCGGTATCCTGTTAGAGTATGTTGTGACATGTGATCTGCTAGATCGGTTTCTTGAATATGAATTGTTATGTGATTGTTTCCTGAGGCGGGTCCTACTTCGTGCTGTAGGCTAAGATACCCAGGGCAAACCGGTTATTCCGAAGGCCCAGCGAGCGGTCCGGATAGGTTGTAGGCCCCACGAGGGTGGACCAGACGTGCCGAGGCTCGGAGAGTGAACCAGGCCGACTGAAGGCCCGATGCGGGCGGACCAGTCATACTATAGACTCAGAGAGTGGACCAGGTGAATTGAAGGCCTAGTGTGGGCGGACCAACCACACTACAGACTTGAGGGACATGATTGGACACGGAGGGTGGACCAGGTGGACTGAAGGCCCGACAAGGCGGACCAGTCCCACAGTAGACCCGATGTGCATGGTTGTTCTGTAATTCGTTATGAGATAGCATGTTATGTGTATGGTATATGTGGTTGGTATTTTGGGGGTATCTCACTACGCTTTCGGGCTTACAGTTGTGGTTTAATGTTTTTCAGGTTCTTCAGGAGACTGTGGCAAGGCAAAGGCGTGATCGTACCGCTCCTCATGATTTTGTAGTAATGTGATTCTGGGAATACTCTAAATGATTTGTATTGAAAACCTTTTTGTAATAATTTACTGAAATCGGGTTGCTTTTGAAAAAATTAAATTGGTGGGATTTTTCAGTCGTTACAAGTTGGTATCAGAGCCTTGGTTTGAGTGAAATGGAGGAACACTAGTGTGACTCCAGTCTCAAATCGAGGAGGGTTTTCAAAAGAGTATTTAAAATGGTTTTCAAAATAAGTAAAGAAGACGCAGAGGTACGATCAGCCGGAGCCAGTAAGTAACCCGAAAATACCATACATGATATTTGTTTTATTGAGCTTTGATAGAACAGCATGCTAGAGTTAGGCTAGGGATCTTCAGGATTTCTTGATGTGTTGCCTGATTTATGATGCCTGCTAGCCTAGGGTTTTCTTGTGAGAGATTTCTAGCGTTCCTCTAGTTGTGAGGATAGAGCGTTGTTATGTATGTTCTCGCTAGGGTGTTGTGGAAGTACTTCATACAAATATGGGTAGGTGTGGAAGGTAGTATGGGCCCGTACTACTAAAAGCACAGCACCCATACGCGTATCAGGGAAACCGTGACCTCTAGGTTGGGTTGAGAGTTGGTTCCCGGGATAGTGGGAAGTGTCTGAGATTTTGGTGGTTTGTTTTCAGTTTGGAGATGTCAGGGCATGCTGGGAGTGGATCCGGGTCAGGAGAGGGAGCAGGAGAGGGAGTTCCGGGTGGGTCCGTACCGCCCGAGGTTGTTGGTCAGATGAGTATGCGCGAGTTGGATGCAAGGATTCGTGAGATCCTGCATGATGAGGTTGCTGCATTGTTCCGAGCTGAGCTGCCGGAACTGTTTGGGTCGATCAAGACTGCCATGGTGGAGTATTTCGATGAGCGCTATGCGGCTCTCACGGAGACGGCTGCCGCGGCGGCTATAGTGGTTGTAGCAGCGGCAGGGGGAGGAGCTAGTAGAGGTTTTCAGTATCGGGACTTCGATAATACGAAGCCTCCCACCTTTGATGGAGTTCAGGATCCGATCGTTGCTATGAGATGGTTATCAGACGTGGAGTGATGTTTCTTCACGTGTTCATGCCCTACTGATCAGAGGGTGAGGTGCGCTTTGGACCTGTTAAGGCTCGGGGCAAAGGATTAGTGGAGGTTGACCACGGGGTCATATTCGAATGCACAAAGGGCTGCGGTTTCTTGGGATCAGTTCAGAGAGATGTTTAGCACTCGTTTTTTTTCCGCAGATCGAGAGGGAGAGGTTGGCTAAGGAGTTCCTTGAGCTGAAGCAGGATTCGGAGTCGGTGACGGAAATCACCATGGTGTTTACTGAGAGGGCGATGTTTTTCCATGAGTTCGCTTCGGAGCAGGCTCAGATGTCCCGATATCTGAGTATGCTAAAGAGAGATATCAGACAGTTTGTGTCTGCGTAGAGGTGCGAGACGTTGTTGGAGTTGCAGGAGGCCGCCAGGCGGCGTGAGTTAGAGATTGAGTTGCAGTTGCGTGAGTTGAGGCAAGCTCCGGTTCAGTCGCAGCCGGTGACGAAACGGTCTAAGGCCGTTGACTCCAGGATGGGAGATCAGGGCAGCCACGTTTGTGGAAAGTGTGGGAGGGGTCACGCCGGAGTTTTTTGGTCCGGTAGTACATGCCGCAAGTGCGGAAAGGAGGGACACTATGCGAGGGATTGTCGACAGTCAGTGCCGGTTCAAGATTTGAGGATATGCTATAATTGTCATTAGGTTGGACACTTGAGGGTCAACTATCCACAACTTGCTGCAGGACCGGTGCAAGCTCCAGCACCGGCCACGTTGAGGATCACAGGTGGAGGTCAGGGTGGAGCGGAGCCTCCAAGGGCTTAGGGTCGTGCTTTTCAGCTTGCAGCAGAGGGGGTTTGAGCAGTGCCGGATGCAGCTGCGGGTATGTTTCTTTCTTGTTGTCTTGTTTATTATGATTATTCTGGAGTATCGTTTATCTGCTAGTCTTGTTGGGTGGTTTTCGTTTTGGTATTTGTTGTTCCTTGAGGGTTTGGCATGGGTATGGGTTAGTATTTCGGGTTTTCGCTGGTTATCTTTTGTGAGGATTATTGGTGGATGCAGTGTTGGTTTGAATGTCGGGTAGCATCTGCAGTCTGAGGAATGGATATTTGAAGATTGGGTTCCTTTAGAGCGGGATGATCAGTGTGGAAATGTGTTTTTGCGAAGGTTGCTAGTGCTAGTGGGAATCAGTCTGAGTGTAAATGTGGGTTTTGTGCAAGGTTATCTTGGGAGGTCGGTGATAGCGACCGGGGAGTTGGTAGTCAGTGCCTTAAGTGGGGGAGAATTGGAGAGTTCTCCGGAAGATCGACGAGTATGAAAGGTTGTTTACCTGCATGGAATTCAGTAGTATCTCGGTCAGCCAAGGGCATTGGTTGGTATAAGTAAATGGTAGGCGTACGGGGGGGGGGGATACGGACCAAGAGCTTGATTGTGCAGGGCCTGGGATCAGGTCGGGATTGAGTATGTATGATGGAGAAAGAGTTCGGAACCCCTAGGGGCTAGAACAGTATGCATGCGTGGTTTTCCCGGAGAGGTAACTCGGAATGCTGATTGTTAGTTGAGCGGTCCGGATAGACTGAAGGCCAATGGGCGTACCAGTCAGGCCGAAGGCTCGGTGAACGGTCCAGCTAGACTGAAGGCCCTGGAGGGCGGT